ATAGGAAGCTTCGTGTGAGGAGGGAGCGTATGCAACAGCACAGATTTGACTCGAGATCCATTCGGGGTGGAATTCGTAGGGAGATCCGGCGATTCCCCCGCTGCGCCAATGTCTCCATCACCAGGGGAATCTTTTCCAAGGCTGGATTTGCTGCAGAGGCAGTCACTGCGGCTGATTTTGCAGCTGCAGCAACGGCCGGCAAGTATGGGGTCCGTCCTGGTTGGCAGACCTACGCTTCGCGTGCTGCTATTCACACCTTTTCTCAGGACTGTGATGACAGCCGAGCAGGGGCTGACGTTTGCTGAGAAAAGGGGGATTTCAGGCTTTCCTAACCAAGTACACTTTTGCCCACATGGCTGAAGCACTGTGCACTTTAGCCCTGGCTGGGGAAGGAGACGGTGCATGGTGGTGACCAACATTGGCACAGCAGATACGAGGGAAATCTCTCCCGCCCATGTGTCGTGTCACCAGTCCAGGCCGCAAATCAGAGTGGTGAGCTCTTGGGTACCGGGGGTCTACTGTCAATCTCTGCACATTAGCCTCGCAACAAGACTTTGTAATGTTCAAATGACAAGGTATATGGGCAAGAGAGATTCTGAATCTTCCAAACATGGGCAGGAAATTGAGCGTGAAATTTTTTGGAACTGAAGTGGTGGGGAGATTCTGGCTCCCTTCCCCCTATACACCAATGTCCCCATCACCAGAAAAATATTCTCCAAGGCTGGATTTGCTGCAGTGGCAGCCACTACCGCAGAGTTTGCAGCTGCAGCAACGGCAGGCAGGTGTAGGGTCGGCCTGATTGGCAGACCTACGTTCTGCGTGCTGCCAGACCCACCTTTTCACAATGATGTGATGACAGCCGAGCAGGGGAGGACTGCCGGTGACACTGGGAGGATTTCCATGTCCTCTATCAAGGTACACTTTGGCCCATATGGCTGAACCACTGTGCACTTTTGCTCCAGGGCTAGGGATGGAGATGGTGCACGGCGGTGACCAACATTGGCGGAGCAGGAGATCTCTCCTGACAGCATCGTTATGTCAGCTGTCCAGCCCGCCACTCACATTGGTAACCTTGTGGGTACCAGGTTCTTCCATGGCCGATATCTCCACATTAGCCTCGAAATATGGTCCTGCAACATTCAGGCGACAAGTTACATGGGTAAGGATGGTTATTCCATACATGGGAGGATGATGAAAGTGGGAACCTATGAAATCAAGCTGGCTTTGACGATCAAAGGCGCAATCTTACCAGGTATAGCGTCTATTAGTTCCATCAACCCTAATCTAATCTCGCCTTTCTGGCCAGAGCTGCTGGTTGACGGAATCCCCTTCTGAAGGTCAACCTGTTTAAACGCTCGCTCAATCGCCAGCTGAACAAGATCCCCACCTGTGAACTTGTCAGCATAAGCAATTATCCAACCAGCCCTAGTATCACTTTTGAGCACACACATTCCCTCCAGAGCTATGGAATCCTGCCTCTGACTCCCCAATGTGAGAGTGAGGGGAATAGCTGCTGCAACCCTAAATTTGCCTGCTTACTGTTGCTTCACTAGCGCTATAGGCTTCACTGTTGCTTTGGTGTGCTTGTGTAACATTCAGAACAGTGCCTCTTATGGTACCACAAACTCTGATCTCATTCCTCGGATGGAACTCTATGCGTGTGTACATCCTCAGGAATCTTCGGAACAACAAACTGAATGGGTGTATTCCATCCACCATCGGCAGCATGAGCAACCTTGCACACCTGTCAGTATCAAGGAAGTTTGATAAAATTTCACCTTAGGCTTGAATGGCTGTGGTTCATTCCCTCAACTACTGCTTCAGCTGTTCTTTGGCTCGTCACAATTTGTCAAACCCCCATGGGTATGCCAGTTTGCTGTTAGATGTACGTGGAATTTACTGCCACACTCACATGAAGGGAATAGGAAAGAGAGCCAACATAACCTCGCACAGGTTCAGAAATTAGAGGGCCTGCAACGGCAACACGAAGTCAACTTGATTTGAGAACGAGCATACATGCTAGGCATGACCACTGTACACGATCACAAGTTTCAACTCATTCTCGTGTCCTGATATGAACCCTGACACCAGTACTAACGTTTTGCAATGAGTATTTCTTTGTGTTGCTTAAGAATGTCTACATATTTGCATGTTTGTGTGAGGCTCAAATAATTGCCCATTGGTTTCATTTGCTTTTACTTGTTGAGGGCTATTTCTTGCACACTGTGCTATATAGTCGATGGTAACGTTTAGCACCTGTTTATCAGGCACCGTTTAGAGTAGGTAGCTTGTATCACAATCATATTTCAGCATGTCATGAGTTCTTTAGTCCTTCTTGCTTTTTAATATCAATCTTCCCTCTCCTACCAGTTGATTCATTTGTTATTCTTGTTTGAATTTCATGGCACCTTCCCATGTGCTTGGTAACTAGTGTTTCACCGTATCTTTTTTTAACACATTTGAAGCCCTTTTTATGTAATCTTACCACCCGTAAACCCTTCGCATGTTTTACCATAAGGTATCTTAAACACAATGCGCTGACTGGGTCCATTCCATCCACCATCGGCAACATGACTAACCTCCAAGAGTTGTGAGTAACATCAAGAGATCATAAAGAGAGCCAACATGACCGCTCACATGCTCATGAATAAGAGGCCCAGAGCTGGCAGTTAAGAAAACGTCTGGTCTTTGCTCAACTTGACACAACTCCCAACTCGACTTCCACTCGAAGTGACTTGAATCGACTCGACCCATAAGCATGTCTGACCCATGCTGTACCTATTCCGGAAAGAGAGACTCCAGAAAATGCATCTGCATTGAAGAGTAAACAGCTTGGACTTATTCAAACCGTAACCCACATGTGTCCAACGCGACTCATGAGTCGGGTGTTGTGCGTCTCGGTCGGACGGGAACACGATTTTACTGAAGACAAGAACCCAGCAGGACGTATTGTAGTTGTCATAATCTTCCCAACGCGGGGTTTGACTAGCTTGATCCTAGGCTTGTTCAAAACGTGAATTCACCCTTACTTTATCAGTTTTAAGGGTGAACTGGGACCTGCCCTTGGCTATGACTAATGAGAGGGGTTGCAATGCAAGCATGAGCAGCCTAACAAGTGGTTCGTGCCTTTATGCACTCTTGCTTTGATACTTCAACATCACTCTTTCCCAGGTTTACGTGAGCATAGTTTTCAGCCATGCCTCAGGACACCGAAAGGAACTCATAATGCATGCAGTGTGTAACACAATGTTGGGTCACTTGAGCTCATTGACAGATCTTGCACTGGCTATAGGTTGGAGGTATATATAAAACCTAGTGCCGAATTGTAACCTTCTTCTGCCCAACAAACATCCTATGTTGATTTTGAAATGTGTTTTGCCTGGTTGGGAAATATCTCACATGAAGCTGGTTATGCATCTCATGCTTGACTGGACTCTGTCACGTTGGGTGAACAAAAATCTCTATTGCAACTTAACCATGTTGACCTGGAATAGCCTAATAGGATATGCGTCCCCTGCCACAATCCACGGCATTTCCATCTCCTCTGACTGTCTTCTAACATCAGCCAATCTTTGGTTTATTCCTTTGTGTTTCCATCCCTGTACAGGTAAAATCTCTTGCATGTATGCACGGTTAGGTATCTTGTTAGCAATGCTTTGACTGTTTCTATTCTGTCTTTTATCTGTTATTTCCATCCATTGCAGTGACGTCAGCCAGAACAACCTCACGGGCCAACTCCCTCCAACAATAGGCAACCTCAAACTTCTTTCATACATGTAAGGCACTTTAGCATTGTAGAAATGCTTGAGAAATATGTCATGTAACCAAAGCGAGGCAAGCGGATACAAGCAGAACATGAACCATTTGACAGAATTCGAAGAGGGCTAGCTTGGAGGCGACTTGGGCTGGTCCAAGTGAAGAAACAGTTCCCCAATGGACTTGGGGTGCCAAATGGATGCTCAACTCACCCACAGCCGAGATAGGGATGTGGGTAACAAAGTTTGCCAAAGCGCGTTTCCAATGTTGGACTTCGTGGGTCCAGGCTGGAACCGCGTACTCAAGGTCGAGAAACGTGCTTAATTGGGGTACCTAGCTGTTGATAAAATTTACTCGAGGAACACCCTATAACTAATATGACCAAACCTTAATGTCTACACTAATTCTATGTACACAGGATATATGTAATTAGACATACACAGGATACATGTTAGACACGAACACGAGGGCAAGCAACTGCTCGGTGCACCTCGAACATGTTTTGTTTTTGTGGCTCAACGTGTTCGGGCCGAATATGTTCATGTTCGTTTCGACATCCCTTTCCGACGAACGCAAATCTGCTCGTTGAAAAAGGTTTAGCTCATTTTTTAGCTCGCCTTTTTTCCCAACCCTCCTTCCACAGCCTAGACTGCAAGCTCCAGCAGCTAGGGTACCTAGACTCTAATGAAATAGTTGTGGCGGAACAAAAATCTACTTGTTTTATTTCCTTCACTCTCAAACGTCCACCAAGTAAAGCCACACCAACCTGGATGCCAAAATCCACCATCCAGGATCATGTGTCTTGAAGACTGCTGATATGGCCAACACGAACATGTTCGCCCCAAACATGTTCGTTTTTGGGCAAACATCAAGGTGTTCACCTCCCAAAGGGGAACACCCGAACACCTTCCTCCACCTTCCTCCCTGGAAGTGTTCGGGCGAACACAAACATGTTCGGTCTGCTGAACATGTGTGTTCGATGCAAGGCAAACACCTCACCTTCAAGTTCGCCCCGAACATGTTTACTAGCCCAGGATGTCCATGTTCAAGCTCAACTTTTCAACATCCGTGCACTAGCCCAGGATGTGTAGAATGGGCTACTGTTTATGATATGGGCGGCGGTTTCAGCGCGTATATATTTCCAGCTGGTTTCTTCCCTAAACGCCCTAAACACAAGGCAAACACGAACATGTTCGTCCTGAACATGCTGGGCCACAAAAAATCAAGTGTTCGCCCTTGTGCTCATGTCCACTTGGCATGGTAAAGTATTACAACGTGTTACCAAAAATCTCAAATACCAACCTCAAAGCGCTTTAGTTAGAGCTGAAACCCATTCCCGATCCATAGTTTGAAAACGCTCCATATGCAGCTGCGGTCACATGCTCCGTTCAAGAACCCGTTTTGCATGCAGGAACATATTCTCGACTGCAATCACATGCCCACCTGACTACAGCAGCTGCGTGGTCCCACAGACCAGTTCAAGTGCTTTTTGCAGCCAGTGCGGCTCCTTCTGCACCACATGTGACAAGCCACCACCAGGTAAGGCTAACGTTATGCAGGTGGCTGCTGCTTTCACAACCCATTTTTGCTTTGCTCTCATTAGCGCTAAGAGGATGAACAGTGCATAGCCACCTACTTAGCTAGCTTTTCCACTGTCAGGTGCGGTAACAATTACAGCTTCGCTACTCCTCAATATGTGCTTCTGTTGTATGCATCCTCATGGCTTTTACTGAAGAATACGTGTTTCTATCCTTCATTGCCTTCCTTTGCTTCCTCCCCCCATGCAAACTGTGCCTGATGCCACATCCACTTTCACCAAGCCAACCGCCATCCTCATGTTTGATTGCCTTTTCCCTTCCCTCTATCTGTCTTTCTACCCCATAACTCTACCCTCCCCATCATAAGTGCCGAAACCCTCCCCGTCGCCAGTGCCAACACCCTCCCCATTGCCAGTGCCAACACCCTCCCCGTCGCCAGTGCCAACACCCTCCCCGTCGCCAGTGCCAACACCCTCCCCATTGCCAGTGCCAACACCCTCCCCGTCGCCAGTGCCAACACCCTCCCCGTCGCCAGTGCCAACGCCCTCCCCGTCGCCAGTGCCAACACCCTCCCCGTCGCCAGTGCCAACACCCTCCCCATCGCCAGTGCCAACACCCTCCCCATCGCCAGTGCCAACACCCTCCCCGTCGCCAGTGCCAACACCCTCCCCATCGCCAGTGCCAAACCCCTCTCCACCTCCTCCAACGTCATCTCCCAGTGAGCCTACAGCCTCTCTCTCCCAAACTGGAGGCGGTTTATCCAGCGGAGCCATTGCTGGCATTGCTGCTGCTGGCACTGTGGCTGTCCTCGTGCTGCTGGTGCTGCTGACCTGGCTTCTGTGGAAGCGATACCGCACCAAAGGGGCAGCAGGAGGAGACAATACTGGCACCAACGTGGATGGCAAGAACTCAATAAATAACATTTTGTTTCGAGGTAAGATATTTACGTAGATGCTGAGCCTAGATGAAGCAATAACAAGGCAAACACCAGGCAATTGAAAGAAAATCAGAGTATCAACAAAATCACAAGATCATAAAAAAATCCAAGAGTAAAAGCAACTAATGCATGTGCAATTTCTCACCATGGAACATTCCAGGTCCTCCCAGATGTCAAGCCGTCTCCTTGGTTGGGTCTGACTCATGAGTTTTGGGTTAAAGACTCAGAATCACTGGTCTGAACCTTATTTTTGGGTTGCGGCGCAAAACCCCACAGAATTGCATGTAATGGCACTGTCTTTTGCCTGCTGCTCTATGCGAAATAGTCATGAGGAAATGAGACAACCAGACTGGCTAGTTTTTTTTTTTTTTTTTTTTTTTTTTTTTTTTGCAGAATGTGAATCTCCTAGTCCCAAGTTCGGAATAATGGGTCTGGGTCGAATTGGGCAGGTTTGTTTCTAGTTGAACGATCAAAATTCAAGCTGGATATCTGGATTGGGGTTCATTGCCATGGTATCACACAGCCACACAGGTATGGTGTTGAGATGGCAGTACAAAAAGTTGGCGAAACTGTTCACCATGGATGTGACTGAATTCACCTTCTTGTAGAAATTTATCCAGCCTTAACCTCCACTCGCCATGAATCAACGAATGAAGCAATGGTGCTTGCTGGTCCTTCCTGGGTCATTAGCAATCTAGAGTAGGTGGTTTAAGTTCCCAGGCCCCTTGAATTATCGGTCTTCTCTTTCACGTTCACCATCTTTTTCATCTCTTTGCAGTACCAAACAATGAGGACGAGGACCCAGCAGCAGCGGAAGGGGAGGCCGCAGCAGCTGCAGCAGCTGCCGCAGCAGCGCTACCATTACCAGCAGTACAAGGGATGCAGGGTGATGATTTTGTGGTGGAGATGGAGGCAGCACGGCCATACGTGTGTCGAGAGTACTCTTTGGCAGAGATGTCTAAGGCCACAGGAGATTGGGCAGAGGGGAACAGGATAGGAAGTGGTAGCTTTGGGGATGTTTACAAGGGTGTGACACCCCACGATTGCAATCAAGCCTGGGCAGTCAAGCGAGCTCGAGTGCTCACGAACGACTTCCAAAGAGAGGTACCATGGTGTGAGTTTTTGTTGATATGTTAGTGGCACGTTTCTCATTAGTTTCTTCTGCCAACCCCAAGCATAGCTGGTGGTCTGATTATTCAATCTCCTTCGATATGTTTACTGTTTTCCCTCTCAGGTGAACGAGATGGCAAGCAAGCACCATCCGCATCTTGTGCGTCTGTTGGGCTATTGCATCGACATTGACCTCTCCACACGACTCATGGAGCAGATCCTCGTTTACGAGTTCATGCCCAACCACGACCTTGAGAGCTGGATTGGTTCTGGTGTCTCCCATCCTCTTTCGCTTCGTCAAAGGCTTGACGTTCTGATTGGAGTGGCAAAGGGGTTGCAGTATCTTCATGACTTCGGCATTGTGCATCGCGACATCAAACCTGCCAACATTCTCCTTGATGCAAAGATGCAGGCATGTCAATATTGTTGTAGGCCTTGCTGTACATGGTGAAAGATGCCTACTCATATCCATCCCTTTGCAACTATCATGTGGTGTTTTGCATCGCCTCGCATGCTCTGAATCTTTCACATCAATGCTCTTGTTGTCCATGGGCAGGCCAAGATTGCAGACTTTGGGCTTGTGAAGCTTAGTGGGGGCACTGCTATGGGCACGTCTGTGGCTGCCACACGAGTGATGGGAACACCGGGCTATGTGGACCCTGCGTATTTCAAGTCTCATAAGGCCACTCCAGCAGCAGATGTGCACAGGTGAGCAGATTGGCACAGGTGAGCAGAGTAGGTTATGCTAGCAAATCCATGCAAGTTATAATGGCATGAGAAAACAGTGAAGGTTAGCAGATGAGCACTTTGGCATGAGAATACTGTTCAAGGAGGCTTCCAAATTTGATGAGAAATGCTCATGAGTTTCGTTTCTTCTAGGGAAGATAGGGTTTGGGTTTCGGGCTTGCAGTGATTTCTATGTTTCCTTTGCCTCACACTCAAAGAAGGTCCATGCCTGTCATTGAAGCCATTTCCAGGCGTTCTTACCAATCGAGTAGCTTGGTGATGCTTGGTGATGGGGCTTGCGTGACGATCACTTGTGGAATGATTGGGAAACAAATTTCATTGTGACCATAAAGCTTTTGTACATCTGAGCGTGATTTCAAGTATGATGCCTTTGTTTATTGACGGGTTGCAGTTTTGGCATGGTGACGCTGGTGGTTATCACGGCGCGCAAGGCTGTGCATGTAACACAGGAAAACCAGATCAATCTCAAACAATGGGTGAGAGACAGAAGTGTATCATGCCAAGGATGGCAGATCTTGTAACACAACGTATGAGAAAGCCAGCTACACTGCGTAGTGAGTTTGCTTGATAATATCAATGTTTCCTTGTTGCCCTTAGCCAAACATATGTAGGCCAATTCATGTTCTCCTTACCACCATTCCCAACAGGATACATGCTGCAATGATTAAGACGAGCACTTACCTTTGAATCACACCTTGTATCTGTAATAGGATTCACCTTCCTATCATCCTGCTTTCTATGTACCACTAATTTCCTATGATCATACATCATTCCATCAATCTCTGCGTTGCCACATTTCTACCATTCTTCACAGGTTTTATTCTAATGTGAAACTCTGTGAACCTTTTGTATCACCAAATTCCATGTGATTTATGCATTTAACCTCGCAGGTGGCCCCGTTGGTGGACTCCGGTGCTGTATTGGCATTCAAGGACCCTCACTTGGACGCACCAGATGACTTGGTGCTGCGCTGGGCTCGCCTTGCCCTCTCCTGCACGGCCATGCCTGTAGCCTCCCGCCCCTCCATGAATCAAGTGCTTTGGGAGCTGGTGAAGTTGAAGGAGGAGGCATCCGGAGCACATGAGGGCCATGTGGGCGAGGCCAAATCTCGCATTGACATGGAGCTTGGGAGCTCCATTGGCTCCTCCAGCTTCACTGCTGAAATGGCCCGTGCGGAGCGCGAGGGGGGCATGCCAAGTGGCTCTTCCACGTAATCAAGTTTGTTTTCACATGCAGCTTACTGGTTTACCTTGTGCTTCTGATGCCAATTGTTTGCTTCATATGAAAACATGGTATGGGACACTTAGGAACACTGACAGAGGCTGTGGAAGGGATACTGGTAGCATCTTTTGATGAGCACAAAAATGGGACAGGAAAATTGGGCTGTGTAGTACACTGTAGGTTCAGCTTGTCCATGGGCCAGATTTTATGCTTGTCACCTTCTTCCTGAAACTTTTAGCTGTTGCATGCATGATTTTCTGGATTCTGACAGAAGCACGTATAGGGTTGTTTTGGGGTTTTTAGACAGAATATCGCTCTTCAAACATCAAGCTTGAAAAGCTAAACATTCCTCTGTATAAATGGAGAAAGAACTGTTTAGAAGATATCCCCTCGCTATACGATTGCCCCTAACCTCTACACTGGCTTAACGCGTACACACAAATAGGTGTCTTATAATGAGGCGAGCTTGTTTAAAAGAGACACCCGGATAATAGACAACCCCTGTCTACTATTCAACACTGTCTACTAACCGGGCAATGACGGTATTATACTCCCCACTCCTCTCATAAACTCCCTCCTTTCGTAAACCCCACTTCTGTCATGCCTCTATATTCCTCTCACGCCCCTACACTCCTACCATACCCCCTCTGTTACTCCTCACTCTTCTTATACCCCCCACTCCTCTCATACCAGCCTCCTCTTGAATCCCCCACTCCTCGCACATCCCCTCTTTTCATAACCTTCACTCCTTTCAAACCTCCACTCCTCTGATAAACCCGGTTCCTCTCATACCCCTCACTCCTCTCATACCCACCATACCTCTATGCCCCCCATTCCTCTCATACACCCCACTCACCTCATAACCACCACCATTATATTACCAGCCATGCCTCTCATACCCCCCTCTCCACCCATCCCCGCACTCCTCCCATACCCCGAATTCCTCTCATGTCCCCAACTCCGTTTACACACCCCAATTATGTCATAGACCCCACTCCTCTCATACCCCCCACTCTTCCCAATCATTTTATTCCAAGTAGTCGCTGTTTCTTATGGTCTTGCTTTCTATGCATGCGCTCCTGCATTGAGCCTTTGGACTCCTTCACCATTTTCTCGTCCACTCCCTCCATGCACTATGGATATTTTAGGTTAGAAGAACCTGTGCAAGAGCAAGATGCTTGCGCTAGACTTCTAGTGCTGTTTTGAAATTATAAAGCCTGTTCATAAAAAGTGCTACCGTACCGACCATAAGCTTGATAGATATTTGTGAACTGTGCATATATAAATGGTGTCTTTGATTATATCTCCTAGCCTGATTTGTCACTGACTGTGCTCACATACGTGACATCTTCCAAGCTAACCAATTTGTAACATTTCTGATTAATTTCTCTCTATACTAGATGAAAACACATCATTCAAACAAGGCACTGCAGATGGTTGTGAACCATTTTAATTTGGAACAGTGCAAGTTACTGTGTTGTGGAATGGATGGAGCACGCACAGTCCAAGGTTAATGAAATCTTTATTGATACAATTTGTAGTTTGAACCATAACGTATCCTTGCAGCTTGACTACGAACTCAGCCTTCAACCGCCAAGAAATCATGAACGTACGTTTATCATGGCAGGAAAAAACGCAGGGAGGTGAGGAATCTGAATGCTAAGAAGAAGGGCACACTTTCTAATCATGTACCTAACCTCTCACGAGAGCCAGTTCAGCATCGAGAGTCCCCTGCTCATTGTTCTGGGTGCCAATCTTGGCCTTGTGGCTGCTAAATATGGCTTGTTGGGGCTAAAGCGCCAATGGTACGTAGGTCAGTTGGTTGCTGACGGTAGGGTGGGGGAGGACAAAGGGTAGTGTGGGAGATTGTGGGTATCTCGTGTTAGGGATGAGCAAGGTGGCGAACACCTGTTCGGTTCGTCTCGAACGTGTTCGAGGCGAACCGAACAGGATTTGTTTTTTAGCTCAAATCGTTCGCCGAACAGTGTTCGATGTTCGCCCGAACACGTTCGTGTTCGGGCCGCTGCTGAAATTTGCCCGCGACGAACACGAACAGTGTTCGAGGTTCGCCCGAACACGCCTCCACAGGCGAACAGCGAACACCTGTTTTTTCCTAAACTGTTCGCCGAACCGAACACTGTTCGGTTCGGCAAAAGAGGGTGTTCGACAAGGGGCGAAGACGAACATGTTCGTGTTCGCCCTTTGCTCATCCCTATCTCGTGTTTGTGGAAGGCATGGCCCTGCATCATACCTGCACCCACGACTGGCCTCAGACTGACATGAGGCTGACATGAGACTGACCAGAAACTGACCAAAAGACTGACCCGTGTTTGACCTTAGACTGACCTGAATCTGACCTTATTTGACTTAAGACCAACCTGAAACTGATACGAGACTGACCCGAAATTGACCTGAAATTGACCTGAGTTTGACCTGAGAGTGACCTGAAAGTGACCTGAGAGTGACCTGAGAGTGACCTGAGAGTGGCCTAAAAGTAATATGAGACTCTCATTATGAGAGTTTCTAGAGCAATCTGAGTGTGATCCGAAAGTGACCTACGACTGACACAAAACCTTCCCCCCCCATGTACTTGACTGGCGAAGCTAAAGAAGGCATTGAACACAAAGGGCGTGCTATACGGGCCAGGGTTGTCGATGAAAAGGAAGAGGCAGATGGGCGCTGCACTGTGCTGCTCCTGACGTGTTGCTGGTGGGGGGCGTGAGGATGATGGTGCCATTGAATGGTTGCGCTGCTGCACCTGCCAGGGAGACTGCTGTTGTCTGTGATGATTTGGTTGAAGGGAGAATTGCAGGAATATGCAGAGCGAGGCAAGGCAGATGGGTGCAAACGGAACAGAAGAAATATGCTTGGATGTAAATAAATCAACACCAGGAGTTCGAGAGGTTTCAACTGCGATGCAGCTGTAATGGTAACAATTACGAGGAATGAGCAGGGTATGCAACGTAATCAAAGGGCACAACAAGAGAGTGCCATCTGCTTCTTACACCAGATCACTCAGTCTCTCCCAAAACTTGTGTATACACACCACTGTAGGAGCACGAGGGCAGTCCGGCCTGGTTGTCGAAGTTGCTATCGCAGGTGTATACTGATTCCTGCACAGACTCACTGAAGGAGCACATGCCATGCCCGCTGCACAGGGGTTGGCAATCCCCAGCAGCAACCCCACAGAATGCACCACACTCCTCTGCACTCCTCTGCTCCAAGTAGTCTCCAGGCGCCCGGGATGCGTTGAGCAGACAATGCTCAAAGGCGTTGCCAAGGTAGGTGTGGTTGGCCTCGGGCGGGATGATGGTCCCGTGGAAGAAGAAGTTGCGGTGGGTGTAGGGTAGGTAGGGTGGGAACTGGTTGGCTGCAGGTAGGGCGACAGGGGCAATGGCAGTCACCCTGTCACTGGTTGGCTGACATGTCACTGTAAAGAAGGGGGGGCGAGGGCAGGGAGAGCCAAGGCGAGGAGTGGGTGGGAAAATGGCGCATGAGCGGGGGTGTGACAAGAGTGGGTGAGAAGTGAACACGCACAGGGTGGTGCAGAGGAAAGATGCAGTGTTCTGTTGGAAGAATGTGTTTGATGCTGGTCAGCAATTACCAGCGCGCAAGCAGATGAGCCTTGGTGTAACAAGCATTTTCAGTCCTATCTGTAGTCCTCCTTCCCAATCGAATTCTCTTTCAAGACCCCCTCAACACACCAAGGCAAGTAACAAATGGCACATGGCCCATTGGCACATGGGACCTGGGACATGGCAAATAGCACATGGTGCATGCCATATGCGATTCCCCCCATGCACGTGCAGCGTGACAAGGCTGGTCATATTGCGTGTGATGCCGTACACATCGCCAGAGAGGACGTTCCTGTTCAGGTAGCTGGAAGAAAGCACATCCGAAGACAACTCGTGAACGCGGCATGCATGGCATGGCGGCACTTGGACTCCCATCTAGCAGGGTTGAGTGCGCTTCCTAAGGCCCTCAGCGGAGGTAGCATGGAGTGCTGTTGTTGCATGCAGTTGCGTTGCATACAAGCATGATTTCAACTACATGTCAAGGTTGGTAACTTGGATAAGTGTGACTGGACCAGACGCCAAGGGACACTGGATACAACCGCAAGCAGCCAGGGTGCACACACAAAAGGCCCAAGTTCTGAAGGAGAATGATCTCGGGACCGTACCCCTGAGCCCCACACCCTCCAGCTACCTGAACCCACAGCGTGGAAGACATCGTGTGCACACGTGATACATCACAGACTATGATGATGGAACGATAAGGGAGTCCTTGAGTGAACGAGAGAGAGCGCATTCTATTGCAGTCTGCATATATGTCTTTAACAAGCTATGTCTCAGTACCTTTCTGATGACTCTTGTCCTCAAAGCTACTGACATAGACTGATGCAAAGCCAAGGAGACTCGGAATCATACGTGCACAGGAGGTTGCACCAGCAACACACCAGGCAATCAAGGCAAACACCAAGAGAGAAGCTACAGGGATGGTTTAAGGTTGGCGAGATGTCAAGGTGACTCAGGGTTCCAATAGAGGGGCTAGGTTCCACCAATGTTTGACCGTGCCACCTCCCTGTGAATACATGGCTTGATTAAACACTAGGTTGGGGATAAGAAAGAAGAGCATGATTTCAGCATGCTACACGTGTCTCCTATCGTGATGTGATAGGCCTGACAAGTAGCACGAGCGCTACAAACATCAGAGAGGACAAATGAGAGAGCTACCAGATAGTGGGTTTCGGCGAAATCCATTATCATAAACCAATGCCTCTGTCCTTAGGGCAGTGTCCTTATGAAACAGGGGCCAAAACGGGGGAGTGGAGGTCTGTAGACTAAAATCTCGTTATGGATCCATACACTATGTTTCGGCTGTACCCTGTGCACACAATGAATCGCTCGCAAGCATAAAAAATTGTCTATGATTGTATGTTGAACCCTAAAGCTATAATGATTGGTGTCAAGCGTCTATTCAAGACATTACTACG